ATCCGTAGGGGAATCTGCGGATGGAAAATAAATTTTATAAATTACGGTTCTGTCTAGTTTTGAGAGGTATTAAAAATTTCAAAGAAATAACTAAATTATATTAAAAATATAAGAAATCTAATTGTTAATGTTGCAGAAATTTTGATTTTGAATTAGAAAAGTTTACAAAAATGTGAGAAAAATTCTTAGTCCGAAAATAGATTCATTAAATATTGCTGATTCTGAGATTTCAATTGAAATAATCAACGAAAAAATAAAATTGCTTAGTGGCATTAGTGAAAATAAAATTAATCTTCCTTGCTACCAAAAATACTTTGATTTTTTGGAAAAATTAGATCTGCGAGAAGACTTTGATATCGTCACTACTAATGACGAATCAATATTATATGTTACTTTTTTTTATCCAATTTTAATAAATAAAAATAATAATAAGGTGGTTATTTTCTGTCATGGTTTAACTAATAATCGTTGATCACTTTTCTATACTATGCATTTAACAATTCAACGAGGTTATAAGATAGTTTCTTACGATGCTCGTAATCACGGTATTTCAGAAAAATCTTTTACTACTTTAGGACAAATTGAAGCTTGTGATTTACAAGATATTATTAATTGAGTCAAAAAAAAGTACCAGCCAGAAAAAATTGGTCTCTATGGATTTTCGTTGGGAGCAGCTACTTGTATTTTTTGAACTGGTTATTTCGCCGGAGCTGGTAATTCAGAAGTAACTTTCGCTATTTGCGAAGCTCCTTTTGACCATTTTGTTACTCAGTGAGAAAAGGCATTAGGAAGTGGGTTAAACTACTACTGAAGGTATTTTTTAGCCAATAAATTAGTTAAGGAAGTGTGTTTTTCCTCCCACGAGAAATTGAAAAAAATTAATCCTTATTCAGTTCTTCCCCAAAAATTACCTATCAAATTACTATTGTTTCACGGTTTAGAAGATGCGGTTGTTGGATGACAAGCTTCCTTTAAGATTCATAAGCAAATAAGTAAAAACAAATTTAATAAAAACAAGATAAATCTTTACCTTTGCTACGGTGCTGACCACGGCGAATTTCCCTTTTTAGCTGATAATGTTCCTAATAGTTTGCGATGAAAAAAAAGAAGAAAAAAATCTAAATATAATTTTACTAATCTTTTTTGCAACTATTTAGAAAAGAATTTGTAAAACAAAAGATGTGATTAGTCCTGTTAACTCAGCGGTAGAGTGTTTGCCTTTTAAGCAAAAAGTCGGAGGTTCGATCCCTCCACAGGACACCAAATTTCTTCTAATTTTGTCTATTTTGGAAGAAAAATTTATCAAAAAAAAATGAATATAAATAAATCATCGCCAAAACCTCGTTTTTTTACTGGCATTCAACCTACAGGAAGTTTAACTCTCGGCAATTACTTTGGATTAATTCGTCATATCTTAACTATTCAAGAAAAATATGAAATAATTATTATGGTTTGTGATCTTCATGCTTTAACCATACCAAAAAAAGATTTTGATTACAAAAAAAAAAGCCAAGAAATCGCAGCACTTTTATACTCTTGTGGTCTAAAAGAAGAGAATTGTAAAATTTATTTTCAATCGCAAATCAAAGAACATTTAGAATTGACTTGATTATTGTCCCCATTTGCTACTGTAAGTGAACTAAATAACATGATTGAATACAAAGAAAAAAATAAAAAACAAGAGACTGGTAATTTAGCCTTATTATCCTATCCAGTTCTAATGGCTGCCGATATTTTTCTTTTTGATGCTGATTTAATTATTGTTGGACAAGATCAAAAACAACATCTTGAATTAACTGCCGATATTAGTCGAAAATTTAACAATTTTTACGGAACAAGTTTATTAAAACTTCCGCAATTCACTATTCCGAGTCTTGGTGCTAAAATAATGGGGTTAAGAAACCCTCAAAAAAAGATGTCTAAAAGTGAAAATGACTATTTGTCTCTTTTAGACAACATTGAAATAGTAACCAAAAAAATTAAAGAAGCAACAACTGATAGCGAAAACAAAATTTATTATGATTCGGAGAAAAAAACTGGTATATCTAATCTCCTAACTATGTATGCTCTTTTGAATGATAAAACAATAAAAGAAGTAGAAAAAGAGTTAGAGAACGTTAACTATCATCAGTTTAAGTTAAAACTTATTGAGTTATTATCTAACAAATTAAAAAATATTCAAGAAAATTACCAATACTATCTCGACAAAATTGAAGAGATGAGTAAAAAAAACACTGATTATTTAAGAAGTTTAGCTAGTAAGAAAATTGAAATAATTAAAAAAGAGTTAAAAATGATATAATTTTTAATTTTAAAAATTATTATGTATTACGGAACAAATGAAAAATTAAAGAAGAAAATTCAAGAATTTAATGACAATTCAGATTGGTTCATTTTTAGTCAGGGTGATTTAGAACCCACTTATAATCACGTTTCAGGAAGCAGATACAGTATTTATTCTTCGGAATTAAGACAAAAATTAGAAGAAATTATTTCGCAACGAAAAACTTCTAAAGATAATATTTTTTCTTCTCCTGCTTTCATTGATTGTCAATTAAAACCTAACCCTAACGAGGCCAAAAATTCTTTCGGTCCATCTAATCTAGGTTGATGGATTATAGTCAGAAAAGAATGAATTTATCAACAATTTCGCAAAAAAGCTGGGGAAATTACAATAATAACAATGTTAAATGAAGAAAGGGAAGGGAATTGAGATATTTGTGAAGTAGGTTGTTTGGGCTATCTTTTTGGTGGCATAAATTATCATAGTTCATCTGAGTGAGAAGAAATTTATCAAAATGAAAGAGGATTAGTAAGGCAAATGTGAGAAAAATTTCTAAATATCTGCAGTTCGACTAGGAGAACAATAAACCAAAGAATAAGGAATTCCAAATTGGATATTGCTGAGATTTTTGCCGATGGGGAATATTTCAATTTACAGCCCGATTACTGTTTTTGCGGAGGTTCCCCGGATCAGCAATCAACCTATTATGAAGACCATATAACTTGTTGCTTAAACCGAGAAGAGAAAGTTGATGAGTTCAAGAAGGAGATTTTAAAATTAATTGAAAGAAATGTAGAAAAGTTTAAGCAAAAACAAAATGAAGTCATTAGAAAAAGCAAGCAAGAGGCAGAAAATAAAGGAGTGAAACTTGCGAATTTTGATTTTTGAAAAAAATCAATCTACGAATGTCAAAATAGTAATCAATTAAACGATGCAGAAAAAAATATAAGTAATTTGATTCAAAGAATTTTTAACTCAGAAGAAAGTTTACGAAAAGAACTAGAAAATCAAGCTCGCGAGCAATCTAAAAGAGAAAAAGAGAGAGTCGAAAGAGAAGAAAGAGAAAGAGAAAATTGAGAGAAGGAACAAGAAGAAAAAAGAAAAGAACAAGAGCGAAAAAGGGCAGAAAGAAACGAAAAAGAACAGAAGAGTAAAAAAAGAGAAACAGAGGAAAATTTTAAGTCCAGAAGCAAGGAGTTTGAAACTTCACCAGAAGGTGAGGAATTGACAAGAAAACTCGCGGATCTACAAAAGAAAATTCACGAACTGGAGGATTCAGGAAGCAATGATAGTTATTCCCTAAAAAATCAGAGAGAACAATTAGAAAAACAATTATTTAACTCACGAATGAAAAAATTTACTCAAGTCTCCAAAGAATTTAATGAACCGAAAGATAATCGAGATAATTCTCCAGAAGAAATTATAATAACTAAATTCAGTTTGAATGGTTTTTATTTATTGTTTTTTCTAATTGGGGTTGGAGTAATTATAATCGCATTGATAAAAAAAGTAAAAATTAATATTTAATAATGAATAATAATTCTTTATGACAAAGTTTTAATCTGAATAAAATTGATTCAAGTTGGGAAAATTTTTTCAGTCAAGAATCAAAAAAAGATTATTTTTATCCTCTTTTATCTAAAGTTGATGAAGAATATAAAAAATCCAAATGTTGACCGCGAAAAGAAAACATTTTTCGTCTTTTTCGAGAAATTTCTTTAGATAAAATAAAAGTAGTGATTCTTGGTCAAGATCCTTATCATCAACCCGAAGTAGCTGACGGAATTGCTTTTAGCACTCAAAAATCTAATTATATACCAGCTAGTTTAAAAAATATTTTTCTAGAATTAAGTCAAGATCTTAATTGTTCTCAATCAACAAAAGGAGATTTATTACCTTGAGTCAAAGAGGGTATTTTTTTACTTAATACTGCTTTAACGGTAAAAGACAATCAAACTCTTTCTCATATGAGTTGATGAAGGGAGTTTATTTATTCTTTATTGATTTATTTAAAAAATTACAATAAAAAATTAATTTGGATATTTTGGGGGCAGAAGGCTAAACAAATCGGCGAGAATTGTCAAATTAGTAAAGAATTCAGTCTAACTAGCGCTCACCCTTCCCCTTACAGTGCCGAACATGGTTTTTTTGGCTCTCGTCCTTTTTCTAAAGTTAATAATTTACTATTAGAAATGAGGAGAAATCCTATTAATTGACTATCGATTCTCTAAACATAATGATTTGTTAATTTTATTAATATCCTCCCCTGGGATATAACATTTTTTTATTTGACTAACAAGAGCAAGAAAAAATAAAAAGAATATTAAAACTAATAATTCAAACTAAATAGTCTCAATTATTAGGAGGAGTCATCTAGACTCCCCCGCTTCTTTGTCAACTAAACTCTTTATCTAACCTCCACTCTTTGAGCAGTTAATTTTTCTTGAATTAATCGAGGTAAATTTGCTCTTTCCTCAGCAGTAGTTTTTTTCTCAAACTCTTTTTCTAGGGAGCCGCTAGTTCAATTAGTTGCTATTTTATTCATCTCATTTTCTCAGGATTCATCTTCGCCATGAACTAGTCGATTCATCTCAATATAGCAACGAGCTAGAACTTGCTGAGCCATTTTATCTACCGCTCCTAAACCATAATCCGGATAAAAGTCCGAAACCGAATTAGGATACTCTTCATAATCTTGATTTAATCGTGATCAACCAAGAAACTTCTTGCCCATGATCCTATGATAATTCTGATCTCCTCTTTTACTAAAATCATAATTTTCTATTCAGTTATCTAAATCAGAAGTATTGACTAATTTGTAAGCTTCTTTCAATAGGTCACGAAATTTATCATCTTTGTCGTTATATCTACTAGGAATATCTTTAGAATAATTTCATTTATTTTTTAACTCTGTTTTTGTTGTAATATTGTTTGTCATGATTTTTTAAATTTTTTTGTTATTTTTATAATGTCCCTTTTCACTCATCAAACATCTTTTTAAATTCTTGATAAACTGAATAATTCATACTTCTTCCCTTTTCTCCTGGATTGCCAAAACGAAAATTACTAGGAACATTTTGTTCTCAAGTCTTTTTGATATCTAGAGGTGGCAATTTATTTAAACCACGGCATCATTCAGTGAAACCAAAATAAGAGGTTCTAAAATTAAATCAGTCAGTATTATCATTGGCAAGATTAGGAAATAGTTCTTTTTTTTCTGGTCTTATCTTGAAATCTTTCCCGAAAAAATTAGCCGAACATCAATCAATAAAATTTTCCCAAGTAACTTTTTGTTCTTGATTAATAATTTGTTGTTCTCCGTATGGAGGATTATTATTGTTTTGCATTGAAGTATTTTGAAATTTTAAGTCAAGTGCTTTTTGAAGTATTACTTTCTTCCGAGTTTTAACCTAAGTTGGTTAATGTTAGTTGTTTGCCTCTAAAGAGGCCTAAACACTTGACTCCGGGTCAAACATATTAGTTTGTTAAACATGATAATGAGAAATTTACATGATTGATTATTATTGTTCTACATTTATATTTTATAAAAATATTAATCATCGAAAAAGATTAAATCTTTCTTGGTTATTGATTAGTAATTTTTTGTCAAGAATCTAATACAAAGTTACTTTTTTCTTCCTTTTTGCTTAGTTAATATACTTCCCTTAGGAAGAAATATTATTGGGTTGTTTAGAGATTAAAAAAGTCAATAAATCCAGTCGATTTTTAGTAATACTAGAATAAATAGTTGCTAAATCATGACAAATTATCATATTTTTCGGTTGTAACTGTTTTTCTCCAGCGATAGCTTGGTCAAAGTGATTAAACATTAATTTTCCGTGTAATCTTTCATACTCTGATTGTCAAGCATCTTCATAATGACCTCCTTGGGAAGATTGATGTTGTTCTCAAAAATAATCGATTTTTGCTTTGTATTTAGGATGGTTTTCAAACCATTTAAGTTTGTTCTTTATTC